AGAGCAAGTGGCCCTATTTGTGCCAAGTTAACTTGTCTCAGCTGGGCACTGGTCAAAGACTAAATATAGTCTGGAGTATGGAAAGGAGAAAAATAAATTAGACAGGGTTCCCATTTTTTCGAACATTTCTGCAGCAAACTGCAGAGAGGCTCAGGTAAAAAATCATTCGGCCTAATTTGACCTTGTCCTTCCAGAACATCAATCCCTCAATCTTTACTGAAACAAGTATTTTTTTTACATTAAATACATTCAGCAACCTCGACACTACCACCCTTCCAGGTCCCATTTTCCAGCTGTTGATTACCTACTGAGTAAAGCAACACTTCCTGGTCTGTGTCCTAAAATTGTCCTACACAACCCTGAACAATATGCTGAACAATTTCCTGCTGTCTAGGGAAGACTATTTTCTGTTTATTTTCCCTATAATAATAATAATTTTGTCCAGTTTGTCAGAATCTGCCTTCCTAGTGTTTACGGTGGGTCTTTGATGAGGCTGTGTTCCTCATGTTGACACCTAATCCCTATATTCATACATTAAGAATAATCTCTTGAATGTCTTAATAGACACATCTGGCAGTTTAAGCACCAACCTCAAGGAACACAGGAGAAAATAATGTAAAGCTGATTTTTAGCAAATCACTGATCAAAAGCAGAGATGTTCATGAAATACTACGAATATCACCAAATTTATCACATTATAATACATTTCCAGTGTAATAATACTTGCATTTTCTAATGTTTCATTCAGGAACGATGTATTAAAAAACATTAACTACTCATACTGAGTATTTTTTTCTCAATTTTTCACAGCTCTAGGCTCATTGAAACAAGCGCTTATCCTCTCATTACATTGCATTTCCAAAATTGAGGTGTAGCATAAAACAATTTATTTTATCTATAAATTATCTATAATTAATGGAACAAAATTTAAACATGAAATGAAAGCAGCTGACTATGTTCAAAATCATTTAGGTAGCTGATTACCATAATTTGCATCTAATGCTAATTGCCATACAGATACACAATTTAATGGAAGAACTCAGCAAAGGAAATCAGTAAAGTTCATGATTCCCTGCTAGGTCAGCTTCACATCTCAGCTCCCCTCAGTTTGTGCCCCTGTTGCTAACCATTCCGAGTATACAAGAGAAGGCTAGGTTTCTTAGGTTGCTTCACCATCAAATTCTCCCTCTCCTTCCCTGTGGAGAACCCTAGGTCTTGCTGAGATGTGGTTGTAGCATATGGAGAAAATGGTCCTCAATTACCTTTCCTCCCTCTTCTATCTCAGTGGAACTGCTCGCTTCTTGCTCAATAACTACTTAATCAGCCACCATAATTTTGTCTCCAAAGCTCTATCTTCATCCCTTTCCATGCTCCCTCTTGGTGATATCATCTGCAGACATGAGGTCAACTTTCACATGTATGCGGATGACGCCCAATTCTACTTCTCCTCCTCCATCTGCAACTCCCAGATCCATTGATGTTCTATCCTCTTGCTTGTCAGATATATAGGCCCTGGCCAACTTTCTGCGGTTGAACATGGACAATATGGATGCCATTCTCCTTGGTTCCCATCAATGTCTTCTCACCTGCTGGCTTCGACCTCTTAATTTCCCCAGTTTATCCCTCAAATTCACTGAACCTGTGCACAACCTTGGCTTCAGGTTGGCTCCCGAGCTGTCCTTCTTACCCTAAATACACTCCCTGACCAGGATCACTTTCCTCCACCTCCGCTATATCGTCTGCCTCAGACAATAGCTCCGAACCAAATGTTTCACTGCAGAGACCCTGATCCATGCTTCTATCACCTTCCATCTTGATTTTCCAATGTCTTCTCCAGCTCCACCATTTACAAAGCCAAGCTAAGTCAAAACTACGCCACCCATGTCCTGACTTGCTCTAAACTCCACACCCCCAAAACCCGGTCCTTGCCAGGCTCCTTGTCACATAACAGATCAACGTGAAGATTCTCACATTCACTTACAAATCACTTCATGCCCCGGCACCTTTCTATCTCCTGGCTCCACTCCTTTACCTATCCCCTTCCCTCAACCAGCTCCTCTCTTCTGCATGTCTCTCAACCCCTGCACCCCACCCCATTGGAGGACATGCATTCAGCCACTATGCCCTGACCCTGTGGAATTCCCTGCCTCAATCTTTCTACCTTGCCCATTTTCCTGAAGACTTTCCTCCTTGACCTTGTCTATGGTCACCTCCCTTTTCTCCGCAACTCAACATCAAATTACATCACCGTTAAGTCCATCGAGAATCTATCCCTATGAGAAAAGGTGCCATATAAAAGCAAGGTATTGTTGTTGTTGAATTTCACGAACATGACACTACCACAGTATGCATTTTATTATTTTTCGCAAAAAAAGTTCCAATGGTGATAAAAGGAATGCCAGACTGTAGTATGTTATGAGCTGCTTGCCAATTCAAAACTGAACGTATTCGGTCCTCTGATGGAAAGAGGAACAATGAGCATTGTAAATTGAGATCATACAATTGAGATTACTCTGGTATGAGAAATCCAACAACAAATGAGGTTTATGTCCTTATAAATCGGAAATGCCAACTTTCAAGGGAATATCAGCTCGTGAAAACTTTGTGTCTTATTATACACATCATACATTGTGTTGGGATCTCAGTGTTTTCTTTTAATACAGTGTTGTTATGGGAAAAAGGAATTTTGTCTAAATCTTCATGAAACTACGATAAATGCAGCAACACTTCTTTCCAGAGAAGTGCCTATCCTTTTAGCTTAATACAAGTCACACCCACAGCACAAGATACAGAGCACGAGATATTTTTCTCCTAAGTAATAGCAAAGAAAAGATGCATCACTTATGATATTTTACTGCTGCTCATTTCACATTTGATAATAGGCGATACCTTTCATATACAGCAGAATTGTACAGTAATAACAAAGTAATCCAAGCATCAACTGGGTAGATTGTAATTCATTGGTAATAAAGTTTCAAATGGATTATGAAAATTTTACATGAGCTAAGTTGCTTGGTGCTGATTCTATTTCTACAATGTAATAATAATAATCCTTGCATTTGATATAGCGCCTTAGAATGTCTTTGAAATATATGGAGCTAAAAAAGAGCAGCTAACTCTCTGTCAAGTGAACTAGTTGATCTCAGCCTGGCATAGATATTGATAATACTGTGTTAATATCCCAGCATTACTTTAAAATCATAATAATTGCCAAATTACATTCTGTGCTCATTTAACCAAGGAAAACCTTGTGTTTTTAAACTTGTTTCATCTTCTGTATGAACGGTAGGATTTTCCAGAGCTTTAATATGGATTCAGGAAAATCAGCATGCTTGGTTTGGAAAAGAATTTGGAAACTATATGGTTATTTTCCAATAAGCACAACACTTTTGATGTATTATAGTTGGAATAAAATATCAGGCAGTTAAAGGCTGTGACTGTTGCAACTGACATGGTTCCCAGCAGGAGCCAAAAAAGTATTTATAGTGATATACAATTTTCATACCAAAAAAGTTCCATCTGCCAGAAAAACAGAATGTGGCTAACTGCTGAAAATCACAGGACTTTGTAACAAACATCTTTTCTTTCCCTATCCTTTTTCTTTACCAGTTTAGGTTAATAGCAAACACAATCTGCTGCTGTATTTTGTTGCAGATCAAGTGTAATATGGTAAAAGCAAAATTCTAGTATTTGATTTGCTTAGAGTATTAGCAAAAATAAAACTATAAACTATGGAACATACTTGTTTGCAAATCTGAGATTAACACATATCTGACACTTGTAAATCTCTTTCCTTTTAACCAGGATTCTATTGTAATTGGAAATCTTAAGACAATTCCTACAGTTTCAAAGGGCTCCAAAGAAAACTATTCCAAATACCATACAATTGTTACACTTACTACAACAACAACAAGATTACATTTGTATAGTGCCTTTCACGTCGGGAGGATGGCCCAAGGCGCTGGACAGTGTACAGCATTTCAGACCCGAGCTGGGATCAGGGGGGAGAAGGGAGTGGAGGGGAAGGGGGGTGGCTGATGGCATGGTCGAAGAGGAGGGTCTTGAGGCAGGACTTGAAGGAGGCTAAGGAGGGGGCGAGGCGGAGTGACTGGAGGATGGAATTCCAGAGGTTGGGGGCAGAGTGGCTGAAGGCTCTCCCACCAATGGTGGAGCAGCCGGAGCCGGCTGAGTGGAGGGAGCGGGCGGTTGGTAGTGGGTTAGGAGGTCGCAGAGATAGGGTGCGGCTAGGCCATGGAGGGCTTTGTAGGTGAGGACCAGGATCTTGAACCGGATCCTCTGAAGGATAGGGAGCCAATGGAGTCGGGCGAGAATGGGGGAGATGGGGTCACAGAGTTTGGTGTGGGAGAGGACATGGGTTGCAGAGTTCTGGATTACTACTGGGAAAAAGATGAATTTAACAGTCTATAAAACCCAGTTCCAATAATTTATTTTACACAATGGAAATCTTACTTTAAGACTCTGTTTGAATTTAGAAACATTAGCAGTCCCCAATCCCATCTATTTGTACATCATAATTGGCTTCTATAATGGCTGAGAATGGAAACGGCTGCTGGTGTCACCACACAACAATTTGGATGGATAAAGTGCCCCATTATTTCCACTCTGCAGGCAGGAGATTTAAAATCAAAAGCACCGTCTCCAACCTCATACTTGTGTCTTCAACCTCACACCTGTACAGCTGGGTTGGGTGTATACAGCAATAAATTGTAAATGGGACGCTGCTGTGTGCAATTCGCTGCAGTGTTTCTCCCACAAAATATACAGACATTTCACTTTACAGTATATCCTGTGAAGCGCTTTGAGACGTCTCGAAGACATGATATATCAAATGCAAGGATTATTACTATTAAATAATTAAATTAAATAATTAAATAATTAAATTATTAAATAATTAAATAATTCTCATCATGTAAAATGCTCACATTTTCTTTTGTGAAACAAACTGCTGAGGTAACAATTGGAAAAGACTGAACACTCACCAAATCTAGCATATGCATCAGCAATACCCTGATTTTTTGCCATATCAATGAGACCTCTTCCAAGACAGAAGTGTGGAAAAATTAGTAGAAGCTGTTTCAGGACGTCATTTATCTTAGTCAAGTTCTGCAGAAAGAGACAAAAGAAAAGAAACCTTTAGTTTGCTAAATGTTATTATTAAAAAGGATATTCTGTTACCTAAATGTAAACATTGATTGCCTTCAATACTTCTGGTGAGTAGAACTTGCGGTTCTGTCATTTTTCTTCAATAGCTGGGGGTAAAGAATATTAACACTGAATTCCATTGGAATCAGGGAGAATGACTTACTGAGCATGGGACTCTGAAAACGGTGACTCTTAATGAGATTACAGGCTCTTTCAGAATGACTATGGCAAATAAGCACAAAAATACAGTCTAAGCATTATGTATTCTCTGCCCAGATAGTCTTTTTCCAGTTGGAACCCAGTGCAACAATTCCAAGGTTTATAGATCTTCCATCGTACAGACTCACTCTGCCCACACTGCATACTACTCCTATCTCAGTCACACTATTTTGTGTGCACAAGCTATTTTAGCAATTTTACGTCAAACACATATCTAAAACACCCTTTGTGTCGTCATAGAATCATAAAATTATACAGCACAGAAGGAGGCCATTGGGCCCATCGTGTCTGTGCCGGCTTTTTGAAGAGAGCTACCCAATTCAATCCCACTCCCTCATTCTCTCCCCATAGCCCTGCAAATTTGTCCTCCCCAAATAATTATCTACTTCTCTTAAAAGCTGTTATTGAATCGGCTTCCACCACCCTTTCAGGAAATGCATTCCAGATCCGAACAAATTACTGTGTAAAAAAATGTCTCCCCCCTCCTCTCTGTTTCTTTCAACAACTATTTTAAATCGGTTTCCTTAGGTTCCCGACCCATCCACCAGTGGAAATAGTTTCTCTTTGTTCATCCTATCGAATCGCCTCATACTTTTGTAAACTTCTATTAAGTCTCCTCTTAAGCTTCTCTGCTCCAAGGAGAATAATCCTAGTTTCTCTAGCCTATCCTGAAGTCCTCAATTCCTGGTACTATCCTGGTAAATCTCCTTTGCAACCTCTCCAATGCCTTGACATCCTTCCTGAAGTGTGGGGCCCAGAACAGTCTCTCGCTGAGGCCTAACCAGTGTTTTATAAAGGTTCATCATAACTTCCTGCCTTTTGTATTCTATGCCCCTATTTATAAAGCCATATGCTTTTTTAACAGCTTTATGTACCTGTCCTGACACCTTCAAAAATTTACTTATATGACCCCCAGATCTCTCTGTTCCTTCACCCTCTTTAAGATTGTACCATCAGCTTATATCGTCTTTCCTCATTCTTCCTCCCAAAATGCATCACTTTGCATTTTTCCACATTAAACTTCATCTGCCACATGTCTGCCCGTTTTACCAGTCTGTCTGTGTCCGTTTTCAGTCTGCTACTATCTCCGCACCGTTTACTGCTTTCCCTCGCTTAGTATCATCTGCAATCTTGGAAATTCTACTCCCTATACCCAAGTCCAGGTCATTTATATAGCTCAAAAACAGCAGTGGTCTCAATACTGATCGCTGGGGGACACCACTGCACACTTCCCTCCAGTCAGAAAAACAACTGTTCACCACCACTTTCTGCCTTCTGTCTCCCAGCCAGTTCTGTATCCATGCTACCACTATCTCTTTAATACTGTGGGCTTCTATTTTGCTTACAAGTCTCTTCTCTATCCCCCAGTGCCTTCGCCTTGCCTCCTCCCTTTCCTCCTTCAAGGCCGGTCTTAAGACCTTTCTCTTTGACCGTGCCTTCAGCTCCCCTCTCGACTCTCTACCCCCTCCTCGCTCCCTCCCTTCCCTCCCCTCACCCTGACCATTTCCCCCCTGCTCGGGTCCTGACCCAACTGTACAGCGCCTTGGGACGTCCTCCCGACATGAAAGGCGCTCTATAAATGGAATCTTGTTGTTGTTATCAAACGCCTTTTGAAAATCCATATAAACTGCATCAACTGCACTACCTTTATCCACCCTCTCCGTTACTTCACCAAAAACTCTAACAGGTTTGTTAGACATGATTTGCCTTTAACAAATCCATGTTGGCTGTTCTTTATTGACCCATATTTTGCTAATTGAAAATTTATTTTGTCCCAGATTATAATCTCTAGAAGTTTCCCCACTACTGACATTAGGCTGACTGACCTGTAGTTCCCGGGTTTATCTTTCTGCCCCTTTTTGTGCAGTGGAGTAACATTTGCAACCCTCCAGTTCTCTGGCACCACCCCAGTGTCCAAGGAGGATTGAAATATCGTGGCCAGAGCTTCCATTATTTCCACCCTCAGTAACCTAGGATGCATCCCTTCCGGACCGGATGACTTATCTACCTTGAGCACTGACAACCTTTTTAGTACCTCCTCTCGGTTTCTTCTTATCTTATCCAATTTCTCTACCTTTCCCTCTGATACTGTGGCATTGGCTGCACAAAGTCCTGTAGCTCAGTGGTTAGAGCACTCGCATTGCAAGCGAGAGACCTGAGTTCAATTCCAGGCAGAGCAAAACCTTGGGCAAGTTTCCTTACTCCACATGCCTAATAATAATCCCTCCAAAACAAAACAATAATAAATTGGTCATTTTCAATCCATGACTGTTTGTGGGACACTGCTGTGCGCAATTGGCTGCCGCGTTCACCCACAAATATAGAGTCAATTCACTTTACAGCATATTCTGTGAAGCGCTTTGAGACATCTAGAAGACGTGAAAAGTGCTATAACAAAATACAAGGATTATTCTCTTCTTTTGTGAAGACAGATGCAAAGTACTCATTCAGTACATCAGCCATGCACTCTGCATGGCTGACGTTTGATAAATTGACAGTGATTGCTTAACCAAGATTTCCTCTTTGGTCCCTAATTGGTCCCACCCTACCTTTGACTAACCTTTTATTCTTTATTTGGTTATAAAATATCTTAGGGTTCCCTTTTATGTTACACAATCTCTTTGCCCCTCTTATTTTCTTTTTCAGTTCTCCTCGGTACTTTCTATATTCTATTTGATTATCTTCTGTATTTTGGACCTGACATTTGCCATAAGCCTCCTTTTTGTGTTTTATTTTAATCCCAATTTCCTTATTTATCCGGGGAGGTTTGGATGCCCTGTATTTCCCCTTTGTATTTGTTCTGTCCCCGAACTATCTCCTCCTTGAAGGCTTCCCATTGCTTGTTAGCTGTTTTACCTGCCAATCTTTCTTTCCAGTCCACCTTGGCTAGGTCCTTTTTTAACTCACTGTAATTAGCCCTCTTGCAGTTGATTATTTTCACTTTTGGTTGCTCCTTGTCCCTTTCCATAAGTACTCCAAATCTAATAATATCGTGTTCGTTGTTGTCCAGATGCTCTCCTACTGAAACCTGCTCAACTTGCCCCACTTCATTCCCCAGACATAGATCCAGCACTGCTTCCTTCCTCATTGGGCTGGAAACATACTGATCCAGAAAGTTATCCTGCACAATTCAGGAATCCTTCCCCCTCCTTGTCCTTTACACTGTTATTTTGCCAGTCTATGTTAGGAAAATTGAAGTCCCCCATTATCATTACTCTATTGGTTTTGCATCTTTCTAAAATCTGCTTGCTGATTTGTTCATCTATCTCCTTCCCACTATTTTGTGGTCTGTAGTGTACACCTAACAGAGTAACAGCTCTTTTTCTGCTCCTTAACTCTAACCAAGTAGATTCTGTTTTTGGACCCTCTTGTACATTGCCCCTTTCCAGGGCCATAACCGTATCTTAATCAACATTGCCATCCCATCTCCTTTTATTCCTTCCCTATCCCATCTGAATACATTGTAGACAGGAATATTCAGCTCCCATTTCTGCCCTTATTTGGGCCGGGTCTCCATTACTGCCACTACATCATAACCCCATGTGGCAACTTGAGCTGCAGATCACCAATCTCATTTGTCACACAACATAATTTATACTCATTGTGTCATTTCTAGTAATTGGACTTTAATGTTTGATAAATTGACAGTGATTGCTTATCCATTTGTATGAACACTAACATACATTCACTATGATAGGCAGTACATTCAAAATATATCAATGCCGGTCTCGATTCATGAGCCAGGCAGGTCCAAAAGTATTCCACAGCAGTGCTGACGACAGACCAGTCAGCCTGGCACAATGGTAAGATTTGGAGAGGCAGACTGGTCACCTGGAGTAGTGATTATTCTGACTCACCTCCTGTTAACCCTGAAACCAAAGCTCTAATGAGTGGGTGGATTGTGCCTCAACATACACTCTGAAGTCTCCAAGCCTTGGTTCTTGCTAACCTAAAGGTTAATAGACTCCAGAAGTAAGTAGGCAAGGTGCGTCCCTCGGGAGAGAATAGGAGAAAGTGCACATTCCATTTCAGATACAGGTAAATTTCCATGAGTAAGTGGCATATATATATTGAACTCCCAGGATAGTTTGGATACTCTTAAGCATGACGATATGTTTCGGCATGTGTCAGGCAAAAATAAAATCCAAAATATGGATTCTAAAATAAGCACACTCCAAAGAGCACATTAGCAAATGAATGATTTCAATATTGCAAATTTATGTTGGAGTTTAGGTCATAATTAAAAAATGTTGACTATCACTTGCCATGGCCTGTAATGTTACCCAAACCATTCAATAAAATTACTGCACTGTATTCATTCACAGTGGGCGATTATTTTCTAAATATCCAACATTTGACAGACATGAAAGACGTTTTATTTTGAGTACACTGGACTAAGATTTTAAACAGCATTACCCAGTGGAATGGAAAATAATATTAAGTGCATTTCTGTTAAGCGTATAAAGAGCTTATATGTATGAACCATTGCTGGAGGCATTTAATATACAATTCAGAATGTTATATTACATGTCCCGTGAAACACAATTCATCTTTATTATCCTGGGCATGAACAGTTCTGTAGATTAATGAATTGGTACAAAAAGCTAGGATTACATAAGTATTTAGTCTCAGTGCAATAATCTGTTTATGGAAAAAGGTTGAAAATAAATGGGACCATTAGACACTCAGTCCAACCAATTTATTTTCATTTCATCCAAATAAAGAAATTGCTCTGCTCAGCTGTGAATACCAACTGATTATATACACTAAGTCAACAATCAATCAGATAACGTGGTGACCTGTAGCTCAGTGATTAGAGCACTTGCCTCGCAAGCGAGAGACCTGGGTTCGATTTCCAGCAGGGCAAAACCTTGGGCAAGTTTCCTTACTCCACATGCCTGATAATAATCCCTCAAGAAAAANGACAATAATAAAATTGGTCACTTCAACCACAACTGTTTGTGGGACACTGCTCTGCACAATTGGCTGCCGCATTTCGCCCACAAATATGCAGTCAATTCACTTTACAGTATATTCTAAAGCACTTTGTGACGTCTAGAAGATGTGAAAAGCACTACATCAAATGCAATGATTATTATTCTTATTTATTTGCTTAACCTATTAAGATTAAAATTATTTTTTTTAAATTCATTTCATTGACCTTTAGGGCTGTGATTCCTTCAGAGTTTGGGCTACAGGTGTTTTCTCTTCCCATTTTTGAGCATTTAAAACAAGAATAAAAAATAGTTGTGGGAGACCATTGGACCACTGTTTGAACTCAAAACAAGAAGACCTTATTTGGGCTGTGATGAGTGAGCTAAGATATGATAACCAGCAAAAAACGGTTTCCAAGCTCTCTGCAGCCATGAGGGTCTGAGGAAGTTGTGCTTGGACTGCATCTGTTTGCAGGACTGAATACAACTTTATTGAAAATTTCATTCGTCTGAAGACTCTCATTGAAAACAGTATCCAACAATAGTCAACATGGAGAATTCAATATGTTCCTAACAGATGAACAGTTGCATAACATATGGGCTACCATATTGGGTGAAAATTAATGACTCTTCCATTCACAGAAAAAATTAAATCAACATGTCCACCCAGGGTAAACAACTATACAACATAAGGAAGGCTTCTGGCAATCTGCTTATTTCCATATCACAATTATTGTAACTTGCATTAATTATAATTGAAATTAATGACTGACAATATTTATAGAATACAACTTATATATTGAGAGGATGTCAGACACTGGTGTCTGGGCACCTGAGCTGTTAGCGTGGGAACTGAAAAAGATAGGAAGGGAAAGGTGATAAAAAGGGTGATCAAAATGCTTCATCTTGATTCAACTTAACAGTAACAATATTTTACATTTATACCTTTCATGTTAGAAATACAATCATGTTCCTGGGGGAAGGGAAGCTAAGGAGGGGAGAAGAAAAGTAGCCAAAAGTACAGTTGAAAGATCTTATGGTGGGTTTTGACCAACATTGATGTTGTATTTTCAGCCACTACACCCTGAAACTCTGGAACACTCTTCCCCTATCCCTCTGCCTTGCTTCTTCCTTCCCCATCTTCAGGTTGCGCCTGAAAACCTTCCTATTTGACTGTGCCTAGGTCACCTCTCCCTTCCCCCAGTTCAGCGTCATGAGGGGCGCTATATATGCAAGTTCTTGTTGTTGAAGACATGCGGGGGAAGTGGGGGGAAGGGGGGGTTGTAACAAGACGGAGGATTTTCACCCCATATATTGTGCAACTCTTCGTCTGTTAGGAACATATTGAATTATCAATGTTGAGTATTTAATTTTTATCCTTATTTTAGGTGCTCAAAAATGGGAAGAGAAAACATCTGTAGCCCATTAGAATAATCAAGAGTGGGAGAGACTGGTTGAAGGCTTGTTCAGCATAGCGCAGCAGGGCGGTGTTTGCTGAGCAGAGGAAGCAGCTGGGGCAGTAGGGTTATAGGTCACAGAGGTAGATTGGGCAAAACCATGGAGACATTTGAATTTGAGGGTGAGAATCTTGAAATTCATTTTGCAGAGGATGGGGAGCCCATAGAGTAGAGCCGACAAGGATAACAATAATAATCCTTGCATTTGATATAGCGCTTTTCACTCTTTTAGACGTCTCAAAGCACTTCACAGATCATGCTGTAAAGTGAATTGACCATATATTTGTGGGCGATAGGGGTGATGCACTTGTTTAGCTTAGTGCAGAAAAGGCCATGGGCTGCAGAGTTCTGGATAATCTGCAGCTTGTGTATGGAGGAGCTGACCACTCTGTCTCTCCAGGTCTTGTGGTGAGGCTGGCTGGCTGGTTTGCTATTACTCTAAGTGGCCTGGAGTACTGCAGACCTACCTGGCTCAGAAACCAGACTACTGAGACTTATCACAGAGTGTTGATTCATTGCCAATTGACAAATATGCCACTCAGTGGAGAGTTCAGCTTCAAGGAGACCCTACTCATCTCCCACTACCGCCCTCCCCACCACAAAGAATAGTCACTAATTGGTAATTTGACATCTGACAAGCCCTTACTAGATGGATGGCAGGTACCAGAAACTCCTTGTAAGCTTTTTTTGGTGAGCAGCACAGCTCAGCATGAAGTGTGCGAACCTATTGCCACCATCTTCCTGCTAACAGCTTGGACACACTTACTTACTCCCTGAATGAGTTTCACCAGCTGGAGGTATGAAGCTTAAACAGCAGCTGAAACCCTATGAAGGTGGATTCTAAGCCCTGGTTATATAAATATGTGTTCATAAACCTGGACTTCAAGAAACACCTTCCAGCAGCTGAAATTGGCTGCCATATTTGCCTACAAAATACATAGTCACTACACTTACTACACTATAAATCCTGTGAAGCATTTTGAGACAAGAATCTTCAAGTCAGTTTTGCAATGCCAGAATATATAATAATGCTTGCATTTGATATAGCACTTTTCACATCTTCTAGACGTCTCAAAACATTTCACAGATTATACTGTAAATTAAATTGACTGTATATTTGTGGGCGAAACGCGGCAGTAATGTCCCACAAAATATTGTGGATTGAGTGACCAAATTATTATTGTTTTTTTCTTGAGGGTTTATTATTAGGCCTGTGGAGTAAGGAAACTTGCCCAAGTTCCTGATGGGAACTGAACCAATGTCTCTCGTTTGCGAGGCGAGTGCTCTAACTACTGTAGGACTCCTACAGAATAGTTGAATAAAGAAGTCAAAACTATTTAAGGGTTGCAAGGCTAAAAAAAATAGGGCTTTCTGAGAGTCATATGAAAAATATATTACAGGAAATCAGAGAATAATGGAAAGGAAGTTTCACCCAGCTACAAATACAATCCAAATAAATGCTTCCCTATATTAAGAGTGAGGAGGAGACAAAGAAGGTCAGAAAGAGTTGAAATGTCAGATTTTGGAGAGTTAAGATGCTCAAAGATAGGTTATATTAGTTAGATAAAAATGTAAAATTCAAATTGAAAATTCTAAAGGAAAACAAACTAACAGAGATGGAGAAGAGAGAATATACTGTAAAATGAATTGATTGTATATTTTGTGGGAGAAACGGCAGCCAGTGTCCCACAAACAGTTGTGGATTGAGTGACCAAATTATTACTATATATTTTTTAAGGGAAAGTGCTCAATCCTGTAGAGTTAATATCATCCTGTGCTGAGAAAGACAGCAAGTCTTGAACTCATCCACATCAACAGGCAGATTTTGTGACACTCAAAACCAGAAGAAATGGTTTAACAATACATACGTCATTCTCGAAGATCTCAAGCACAAAGGTGGCGATACTGCCATTAATGCCGATGAACATGTTAATGCAGGTCAGCACCACGTACGCTGTGCTGGGTATACTGAATAGGAAAGATGCTAGGTACATTAAAGGAATGATTGACCATCTGAAAGAGATAAAACATGGAGAGACACGTTAAAGAAGTGCGTTCCTCTGCCACTGACACCAAAAAGCAAAACAAAATTGTCTTATTTCTGCTTCATGCATCAGAGATGCTTTTAAAAGCACAACTGGAAGAATCAATTTCAAGACAACTTGTTACATAACTGCACAATAATTATCAAGGTGCATTGATCACATTTTGACTCTGGACACAATACAACAAACTAAAATGCAATACATTACAGTTATAGCGGGCTTCTTTATTGACTCACAAGTCAATAACTCCCCATAATCGCTACCCTCTGCCACAACCTCTCACCTGAGTTGCCGAGATCAAATTCACATCTTCATCAAGTTCAGGCAAAAGTATTCAAATGACCTGCAGTTCACAGCTGCAGAGTATCTATTATCAGAGTATCTACTTTGCAGCTCATGTCCTTTCCCTCACCCGGTTTCATGAGCCTATCACCCCCATCCTCATTGGTTATGCTATCTCTGCTACTTTCTGCACCCTCCCGATCTGTGTCCTTTCCTCCCATACACCTCCCTACCCCACCCCCCATTCATGGTTGAGCTTTCAGTCATTCTGCATTCACAGTAAATCCTGTGACACATTTGACACGTCTTCCCAACATTGAAAGGTGCTGTAACAAATATGAGGAAAACAAATAACTTTAGGCAATTTCAGCTTCCAAAATTTTGCTGCTCTCTCTGATGGTATTCCATGGAGAAAACAATGTTTACTTTGCAGAAATGTTGGCCAGTTATGAATTGGATTTTGGTATGGTGTTAGGATAGTAGAACAAACTATACCTTGGTATTCTGAGATCTCTTTAGGGCTACCACAACAACAACTTGCATTGATATAACGCCCTTCACACTGGACGGAGCTATGTTTGTTAGTGGGCACACAGTGGTTAGAATAGTGGAAGATTCAACCTTAAATTTGTAATCTCATCCAGAAAGGCCACAGGTATACTCGGTGTGAAAATTTCAAAAAAAGAATTCAGTGGGGAATGGTTTTCTGAAGTTGGAATTATAATGCACTGAGTCAGAGTACAGGAAGTTTTCTGCTCAGATTCTGCTTGTACTTGACTTGAGGCTGATACCTTATACTTATTAAGTTATTATACTACAAATTAAGAAAAAGATAAACAGCCAAAAAATAGCCTGAAATACTATGAAATAATATAAATATAATATAAATGCATCTATGAACTGGCATGTTTAAGTAAACTCTGGTCTTCAGTCCATCAAACCCCATAATACACACTGCAACATCTCATTAGTTGCATTTACAAAGATTTACAAAGAATGTGTAGTATGGAAACAGGCCAGTGATCTGGTACTTTCAGCCAGTTCTAATGAAGTCACAGCATTGTAGCTGAAATGCACAAAAGCAATTTCCTTTTCAAACAGACAGATGAGATACCGATTGGAATGTTCTGTAAATTCAATCTAAGCACATTTCAACCTGCTTTGTCACGTTGTTGAGATGTGTCAAAGCACTTCACAGTGTTGAATGTATTCTGTGGGCAAAACACCATAGAGTCAATCATTCTGGTGAAGAACACAGCACGAGTACAGCCACTAGGAGTCAAATGGCCTCTGTCTGTGTGGTAAACTTTCTGTGGTTCTAACACAGCAAATATATGAATTATAGGTCTTGAGAAGTGATGTAGATGGTGAGTGATGGGTGAGCCATGGAGATTGTGCTTACTGCTACAGACGATCAAATAAACAACTCAGCAGAGCTGTTTGGACTAACCTATGATGGATAATGTTTCCATTTGAGCTGCTTTTGGTAACATCTGTACACTGCTGTGTTTATGAAGAACTAGTGTGTCACCTTGAGGTTACATGTGGCTGGACAAAACAGAAGCTGTCCTTCTCGGCTCCTTCCACTGCCACCGTTATTCTCCTCTGGCTGAGTGACTCAACCCTTCTGGCTGTTTTCAAGCGTTCTGACATGCCGTCTGGCGTGAAGGGCATTATATAAAAGCAAGTTGTTGTTTTCCACATTCTTGGTGTTTTATTTAACCATAAATTCTCCTTCCTTGCATCTGATCTCTGATCATGACTGTTTCTCCTCACCCGCCTCCGCTGCTAATTCATTTCCAACATTGCTGAAATCCTTGGCTTCATCACCACCACATTGGACTTCTCCAGATCTCTCCTTGCTGGCTTCTCCCAGTTCTACTACCCACAAGCTCCAACACATCCTAAATTCTCCCAGTGTCCTGTCCAACAATCTCCCAAATAAAGTAAGCCATTCTCTCCTTAGCAGTTTGCCGTCAAATTCCTGTGTACAAATTGATTGCCGCCTTTATCCACAAACACACAGTCACTCCACTTTACAGTAAATGTTATGAAGTGTTTGAGACATCCTCTTGACATGACACAACAACAACAACTTGCATTTATAGCATCCTTCAAATTTAGGATGGTGAAAGGGTAAAAAGCAAGGATAACTGGAAGGAAAACGCCATAATACTTTGAAGTAGCTGCAATGGTTTTATTGTTTAACTATAAATATTATAAATAAATATAAATAAACAGCCATGAAGTGGCATTCTGGGGCATTGTGAGTCAGGACACCAAATAAATAATACATAAATTATCATAAATAAAGAGAACTATAAATATAATTCACTTTACAGTATATTCTGTAAAGTATATTCTGTACAGTATATTCTGTAAAGTGGTTTCAGACTTTTCAATGACTTGATAAGGTGCTAAATCAAATGTTTGGATTATTATTAATATTACTTTATTATACAAGTTTAAGATAATAGCACCCAGGGAGCATATGTGAGATGAATGTTTAAGAACTTTATATGTTTTATATTAAATGGACGTCTAGTTCAGATTAATTCGGACTGTTTACTTTCTACTTCACACTCATTTTTAAGTGTCAATCTGGCTCAGTTGCTCACACTCTCGCTTCTGAGTCAGATGTATGTGGATTCAAGCTACACCTCGGGACTTTGAACTCACAGTCTAAGCTGACATTCTAGGATAGTGCTGGGATATGCTGCATAATAGAGTTGCCATCTTTCAAATGAGACCCCAAAGTCCTGTCTGGTTGTTCGGATGGACGTTAAACATCCTATGTTACTATCTGAAAAGAAAAGGGAGTTTCTTCCGGTTTCCTAGTCAACCATCCCCCAAATTTTACTTTATGGCTGTTTGTGAGATATTGCTGTGCACAAATTGGCTGCTGTGTTTGCCTACAAAATATACAGCTACGACATTTTACAATAATTCCTGTGGAGCAATTTGAGACATCCTTCCAATGTGAAGACACTATTTTCATTTCAACAAAGTGTGACAGTCAACAATTGAGTACTGTACTGATTTATTTGACTCACCCATAGAGCACAAAGAGAAGGATCAGCACTGGGAGGTTGGCAGATGATACGTAGGATTTTTGTTGAAAACATAAGAAGATGACCACAACCATGACACACGAAACAGCGTAGTTGCACTGTAGGAGTAAACAGTTTTAATATATTTATATAAAAATCTACCAATCCAAATAACCATCACTCGTCAAAACATTGGTTGAATGAGCACAAATAGTACATAAACAATTTTACATCCAAGATTAACTGCAAGCTTTAAGAGTTTGTAGGAAAATTCCTCTTCATTTTGAGCAACCAGAAATATACAAACAAAGCCAAGAGAGGATTCCATATGCCTGATAAGGGAAGTATTTTAAAACAACTATTTATAAACATAAATAAGAAAGACATCTCTTTGGACTCAAATACATTACCGTTAATAAATCAATACATTTCAAGTGGGAGAAAATAATGCATGAATTATGCAAAAAGTTAAATTTGTAACCATAATTGTTTTCCCAAGAACATATAATCTCATTTAATACAATGAGAAGATTGAAATGATGGACTTGTGTTAAGATTAGTATCTCCAGGGCTCTTGTTTCCCCCATCCCTCCAAATACACACACATTGCAGTAGTTCTGAACTATCTAATACATAATTAAAACCAAAGAAAAGAATTTGTTGAATTCTGCAATCAACAAGCAATCCTTTCCAGTACTTTATAATTACATCATTAGGGGTATCTCCAATACCTTCTTACATATTGTTAAGTACAACTTGTATCATATACTTCCATTGATACATCTTGCATAGTGTGTTCAATAGGTTCTGACATTACACAGTTGTGGACTTCACACACACTATTCATTATCAAAGTACAACATCAAACTCTAAGCTTTCCACGTCACTTCGTCACATGACCTCTAATAAACTCCAAAAACTTGCTTACATCAGTTCTTCACATCATTCTGTGTAAACCTAGGGCTAAGAAAGCAAGGTTTAAACTGGTTCACTTCGCTCCTTCAATAAGCCTGTGTTCATTTTAAAGTACGAGCCTGTCTTGCTCTCCTTGAACTTCTAATGGTAGGAACAAGCCCCCATTTTAATAAATGGAAATAATAATCCTTGCATTTAACATAGCCCCCATGAAGTGCTATATCTTAAAGTGCCTCTCAGATAATTATGCAAAGTGACATCATTATAAAGCTTAGGATGCAGTTTCAGGAAAATACAGAGAATTTAATTTCAAAGAGATCACTTTAGATGCTACTAAAACTCTGCAGCTCATGGACTCTCACGCACCAGGCTCCATGACCCCATTACTCCCACCCTCGCCCGACTCCACTGGCTCCCCATTCCCCAGAGGATCGAGTTCAAGATCCTCGTCCTCATCATTGAGGCCATCCATGGCTTTGCCCCCTCCTACCTCTCTGACCTGCTAACTCCCTACGAGCCTGCCCGCTACCTCCGTTCATCAGGCTCCGGCCTGCTCCATGTCTCCCGCCCGACTCGCCCTATCATCGGTGGCCGGGCTTTCAGCCTCTCTGCCCCCACACTCTGGAACTCCATCCCACGGTCCCTTCGCTTCGCTTCCTCCCTTGCCTCCTTCAAGGTTGGTCTTAAGACCTTTCTATTCGACCATGTCTTTGGTCTCCCTCCCACTTCTCTGCCTTCCCTCACCCCTACACCACCCCTCCCCCATGCTCGGGCCCCGACACCTGACTGTTCAGCACTTTGGGACGTCCACCCGACGTAAATGTCATTTTGTTGTTTATTGTTGTTGTACTTTGGACATTAGTTTCTGTGTTCCTAAATGATGAATCTCCTCTGTTCCAACTTAGTCTTCTCTGTTGTTTTCTTGAGGTTCATAAAGTTTACTTATATCCTTAACATTTACTTGCAACATCATTCAACAGTGAGGTATAAAGGAATGGCTTCCATCCTTGCCCATTCATTGTTAAAATTCCATCCCTCAGAACCTCTGACTCGCTCACTCCCTCATCTCTTTCATGGCATGTCTCAAAAATGAACCTTTTGACTACAATTTTGGTCACAACCCTCGGCTACCACCCCCAGCTTGAGTGCCACCCATGTTGTGCAGCACTTTGAGACATCCTCCCGACATGATAAGCAGGGTAAAATGATATATATGTGTAAAATGCATTGTATAATAAGTTGTACTGTATTTTCAAAAGAGATATCTTCAAAGTGATAGTCACCTTCCTGCTCTATCTTCCTTTGAAGTATTAATAATAATCCTTGCATTTAATATCGTGCTTCATTGCGTGTTTGAGACATCTAAAAAGTGTATTTTGGGAGGAAGAATGAGAGAAATATTTTCAGAAGAAAAAGGAGACAAAAAAATTACTAATTGGAATGGAAGTAAATAAATCCGTCATCCTGTCTCAGTTGGTAGCATTCTCTTCTCTGAGTCAGAAGATTGCGGATTCAAGTCCCTTGTTGGGGCTTTGAGTTTAAACTGATCCTTTAATTCTGGGGGACTGCTACATTGTCAAAGAATGTAATTGGATGAGATATTAAATCAAGATCCTGTCTGCCTGTTCAGATGGACTATTCGAAAAGAGAAGGGAATTTCTCCTGGTGTCCTGGCCAACAATCCTCCAGATAAAATTGGCCACTCACTTTATAGTTTGGTGGGACATTGCTGTCCGCAAATAGGCTGCCTACAAATACACAGTTACTTCATCTTTGTAGTAATTCCTGTGAAGCACTTGAGATATTGCGATGACATGATAAGACCCCAAAACCAAATGCAAGGATTATTATTATAAGGTTTGTGTTTCTTATTATAATAAGGTTTGTGTTTCTGATTTGCATCAGTAGTTGGGGATTATTAGAGGGGGCTCAGAGAAGGAAGTGGGCCAGTTAATAACACTGCATGAACCTCTGTATGGTTTTTCACTTAATCTGGAGGAAAGATGAGGTTAAAAACCTAGACTTACTTCTACCATCAAAGAAAACAATATTCTCACTGGACTCACACAGTGTATACTCCATTGGACTCCAAAAACATCTGCATTTATAAAAAAAAGACAAAAAAAAGGATCGACTAACTGCAGGAGTGGAATTATTTTTCACAGCTGCCCACTGTCCTCCCAGCAGCAGTTGAAGAAAATGTCCACTGGAAGCTAATTGGGATATTTGAATTCACCCAGTGCAAAGGCAAAGTGCATTGCTGCTACAGCAAGTGTAGCCACAGAATGGGTTCAAGGTCCCCTCCAAGCCCTGGTGTCATCATGGGAAGAAGGACGTCATATGAGCCTGTGCTTCGTACACACACACCTTCTGACCTTACAGTAGCAACCCAACTGCTCTTGACAGCAATCAATGGGAGCAACCAAGGGAGATAATAATACTCCTTGCATTTGATATAGTGCCTTATCACAACTTTGAGACGTTTCAAAGCACTTCACAGAATATACTGTAAAGAGAATTGACTGTATATTTTGTGGGCAAAACGCGGCAACCAATTGCACACAGCAGTGTCCCACAAACCTATTTATTATTTTTTTGAAGAAATTATTACCCATGGAAAAGTGATCTGCCAATCTACTAACAACCTGGTTCCTACTTACTGCTAGGTAAACAGAGGCATGTGGTGTAAGGAAACTTGCCGAATTTTTCACCCTGCTGGGATCAAATCTATGTCTCTTGTTTGCGAGGTGAATGCTGTAACCACTGACGGTGAGAATAACTGGGAAGATTAGAACCTCAACCAAATAATAACAAGAAAAAGGGCAGAAATGTTTTATTTATTAAATTCAATAGAAGTGTCTGGAAGGAAAGTGGGATTTACAATTTTTACTGGATTAAATTGCAGCACGCTGTAGGGTGAAAAGCTTGTTATTCATAAAATATAAACAACACTGATGGATTGAAAATAGTTTCTGACAACAGGTAGGGTAGTAAATAGTGAGGAGGACTGTAACCAACTGCAAGCAGACATACACAGAATGGTGGAATGGGCTGACATGTGGCAGATGGATTTCAATGTGGATACGTGTGAGGTGATACACTTAGGTAGGAAAAATGATAGGAGGCAACGTACAGAGAGATCTGGGTGTTCAAGTAACCAAATCATTAAAGGTAGCGGGGCAGGTAGATAAGGCAGTAAAAAAGGCATTTGATGTACTGAGCTTTATTAGTAGGGGCATAGAGTATAAGAGCAGGGAGGTTATGGTTAATCTATACAAAACACTGGTTAGGCTTCAGCTGGAGTACTGCGTTCACACGGGGAGCGGCGGCAGGACAGCGCGGGGAGGAGCCTGGGCCTACCTACCCAGGTATTTAAGGTCGCGGCAGCAGGGAGTGCAGCTGGGGGGACAGTGGGGCTGAGGAGGGAATGGGTGGGCGCGGAGCGGGGGAAAAGCTGACGTCATAGTTTAGTCTTCAGGAGTGTGCGCGCAAAAAAAAAAAAAAAACCTTTGCGCCCCCCGGCCTCACATCAGGGCCCACCATGGTCCTGTTGGGTTCGCTGCCCCAGCCTATGGGATAATGCCATCCACCTGACCGCTCGCTCCCGGTCCCCGCGTGCGCACTATGGCTGCCGCTATGACCCTCACCCCCTCCCTCTCTCCTCCCTCCTCTCTACCCCCAAACCCTGCCCCCTCTGCATCTCTCCCGCTCTGTCCTCCTCTCTCTCCGTCCCTCTCGTCTTCTATCCCCACTTGACCCTCCCACAACCTCCCTCTGTTCCAGCCTGGGAATCCTCCGCCGGGCTCACCGTGGCACTCGGCGTTGGCTGTCCAGCAGCAGCCACACCGACTGCCCCATTCCCCACCACACTCGCCACCCACCCCGGACACAGACCCGGGGAGCCAACCTCTCCTCCCTCATCCCCATTCCCCCACCCCTGCCTCACAACCTGGACCCCCTCCCCTCCCACACACCCTTCTGTCAACCGCTCCCTCCACATCGGACTACAAAACGTCCGCTCCCTCTGTAACAAGGCCCTGGTCATCAACGATCTCATCCTTGATGAGAACGTTGATATCATGGCCTTAACGGAAACCTGGCTCACCCCAGGCGACACCTTCCCCCTCACGGAGGCCACACCACCCGGCTACACCTCCCACCACATCCCTCGCCCCAACCGCCGTGGTGGTGGTGTAGCCCTTATCTCAAGGACACCACTTGCCCTATCCCCCTACTCCTCTGGCTCTTTCCCCTCTTTTGAGCACCTCACCCTCTCCCACGTCTCTTTCCTCTCACTTAAAATCCTCCTCCTCTACCGGCCCCCTAAAACCTCTCACACCTTTATCTCCGATATTGCGACACTTCTTACATCTCTCTGCCTCTGCTCTGATCGCCTCATCAACCTGGGCGACTTTAACCTGCACTTCACCCCCTCCTGCTCCATCTCCTCAGACTTCTCTTCCCTGCTCTCCTCACTCAACCACTCCCTCCACATCAACTCCCCCACTCACAGTCACGGCCACCCACTCGACTTGGTGATCACCCAGGGCCTCAGTGTCTCGGATGTCACTATCACCGACAAGGCCGTCTCCGACCACCACTTCATCTCCTTCACAACCTCCACCCCCCTCCCCTACCAGACCCACCACCATCTTCTACCGCCCCTGGAAGAAGTTACCCCACAATCCCTAACCGCTGCCTTGGAGTCCTCTGAACTCCTCTCCCTTTGGCCTTCAACCCTCACTGACCCCTCTTCTGCTCTCACCCTCCTCCATAACACCCTCTCCTCCACACTGGACACTCTTGCCCCCATCACCTCCTATACTGTCTCCTACTCTCGCTCCACCCCCTGGTTCACCACCCACCTCCGCTCACTGAAGAGCCAGGTGCGGGCCGCTGAACGCACCTGCGTCAAATCTGGCCTAACGGTCCACCGACAAATCTGGCTGGACCTCCTCAAAATCTACCGCTCCACTCTAGCCTCGGCCAAGTCGTCCTTCTACTCCAGGATAATCCTGGAGGCGAAAAACAACCCCAGGCTACTGTTTTCTACCACATCCCGACTCCTCCGTCCCCCCCGCCACCCCGCGCAGGTCATCTCCTCCAACCTTCACTGCGAGGAGATGCTGGATTTCCTTGAATCCAAAATCAAGGGAATTCGCTCCGTGGTCACTTCCCCTCCAACATCCACCCACACCCACCCCCTCCCTCCCACACTCCGACTCCTACCCATCCTCCCCTACACACTTTCGTACCCGTTTCCCCACCCTCTGTCACCAAACTCATCCTATCCCTGAAACCCACCACCTGCTCCCTTGACCCCATCCCCACTCCACTCCTTATCTCCCAGCTCCACCTTCTTGCCCCACATATCACAGACATCGTCAACCTGTCCCTCTCCTCTGGCTCTGTTCCCATTCCTTAAAAACTGCCACCATCACTCCCACCTTGAAAAAACCCTCCCTTGATGCGTCGCAGCTATCAAGCTACCGGCCCATCTCCAACCTCCCCTTCCTGTCCAAGGTCCTGGAACCAGTTGTCGCCTCCCAGCTGCGCTCTTTCCTCTCCACCCATTCATTATTCGAACCCCTTCAGTCGGGTTTCCGTGCTGCCCATAGCACAGAAACTGCCCTGGTCAAGGTCACCAATGACATCCTGACCATCTGTGACCAGGGCTCCCTCTGTCTCCTCGTCCTCCTCGACCTATCGGCAGCATTCGATACGGTCGACCATGCTATCCTCCTCCACCGCTTGTCCTCCCACCTCAACCTTCAAGGCCCTGTCCTTGAGTGGTTCAGGTCGTACCTCTCCCACCGTCTTCACTTTGTTTCCAGGAATGGTTTTTCCTCCGCCCCCCGCACTGTCTTGTGCGGTGTCCCTCAAGGCTCTGTCCTCGGTCCCCTCCTCTTCACCCTCTATACGCTCCCCCTGTGGTGACATCATCCGCAGACATGGGGTTAACTTCCACATGTATGCGGATGACACCCAACTCTACCTTTCCTCCTCTACCCTCAACTCCACGACCACCGATGTCCTGACAGCTGCCTGTCCGACATCGAGTCCTGGACGAGAGACAACTTTCTTCAGCTCAACGTGCGTAAAACTGAGGCCCTCCTGATTAGCTCGCGTCAGGGCCTCCGCACCTCAGGCGCTGACACCATCAGCATCCAAGGCTGCACTCTCCACCTCTCAAAGCCAGTCAGGAACCTCGGGGTTCTGTTCGACCCTGAGCTGTCCTTTCTCCCTCATATCTGCGCCACAACTGGCACCGCCTTCCATTACCTCCGGAATGTCGCCAGACTACGGCACTACCTCACCCCTCACGCTGCTGAAACCCTGGTCGACGCCTTTATCACCTCAAGGCTGGACTATGGGAACTCTCTCCTCGCCGGCCTTCCCGGCACCTCCCTCCACAAGCTGCAGGTCATTCAGAACTCTGCAGCTCGTGTACTGTCCCGCATCAGACTTCGCGACCACATCACTCCCACCCTCGCTCGCCTCCACTGGCTCCCCATCCCCCAGAGGATCTATTTCAAGATCCTCATCTCACCTACAAGGCCATTCACGGCCTTGCACCCTCCTACCTCTCCAACCTACTATCCCCCGACCTACCTGCCCGTACCCTCCGTTCCTCTGGCTCCGGTCTGCTCCACATCCCCCGCCCCAACCGCCCTACCATCGGTGGCCCGGCCTTCAGCCTCTCAGGCCCTAGGCTCTGGAACTCTATCCCCCAGTGCCTTCGCCGCCTCCTCCCTTTCCTCCTTCAAGGCCGGTCTCAAGACCTTTCTTTTTGACCGTGCCTTCAGCTCCCCTCTCGACTCCCTACCCCCTCCTCGCTCCCTCCCTCCCCTCACCCTGACCATTTCCCCCCTCCTCGTCCCCTCCCTTCCCTCACCTCACCCTGACCACTTCCCCCTGCTTGGGTCCTGACCCAACTTTACAGCGCCTTGGGACGTCCTCCCGACGTGAAAGGTGCTCTATAAATGGAATCTTGTTGTTGTTGTTGTTGCGTTCAGTTCTGGGCACCTTACTTCAGGAAGGATATTAAGGCACTGGAAAGGGTGCAGAGGAGATTCACGAGAATGATATCAGGAATGGGGATCCTTAGCTATGAGGACAGGCTGGAGAAGTTAGGACTTTTCCCATTGGAGCCGAGAAGGTTACGTGGGGACCTGATAGAGGTCTTCAAGATCATGAAAGGTTTCGACAGGATAGATAGCGAAAAGCTGTTTCCGCTGGTAGGTATGTCTGTGACCCGCGGTCACAGTCTTAAAATATCTACCAAAAGAAGCAGAGGGGAGGTTAGAAGAATTTTTTTCACTCAGCGAGTTGTTGGAATTTGGAATTATATGCCCGAAAGGGCAGTGAAGTCCGATTCGATAACAGCTTTTAAGAGAGAACTGGATAGGTATCTGGGGAAGACGTGTTTGCAGGGTTATGGGGCGAAAGCTGGTGATTGGGGTTAGTGAAAGTGACTTGCTCTGTCAAAGAGCCGGCACAGATTTGATGGGCCGAATGGCCTCCTTCTGTGCCATAACATTCTATGAATCTATGAATCTATGAATAACAGTAAAGAAAATTTAAATTCACTAAATCCAGCAGCAAAAGCGATAAATTGGAATTTACAATTGTACCCGATTTACACAACACCCTCAGGGGTGGTTTTAATATTCATTAAAAAGTTACGTTTGCCAAAGACGCTTCTGAGGGAAACTTGTAATACCTATAAACCATTTGTCATAACTTTCAGAAATCTGCATTATGCTCTATAGTGTGGGTTGAAAGTCTTGACATCAAAAGAGAGGCACGTTATCGTATTCGCAACACTGCACACTTCCTAGAACTTGTTTTGGGCATTTTATGTGGTCTCAATTTTCCTTCTTAGCACTTTAGCCAAATCTACTAAATTCCAATCAACTGTACACTGTACAATTAATGCCTGTATTTAACATAACATCTAGGCTTATGTGCACTCAAAATAATGATGTAAATTAAGCAAATGTTACAATGAATTGAGTGGAGGGAGGGACAGGTTGGTAGGATGGCAAGACCATGGGAGTGATTTAGCAGTTAGGATAATGTTCATGAACACGATCCACTGAGGGATTGGGAGCCAGTGCAGCCTGGTGTGGATGGGTGTGATAGGCACGCAGAGCCTGTTGCGGGAAAGGACACAAGCTGCAGAGCTCTGGATATTCTGCAATTTGTGAAGGGAAGAGGCTGGTAGTCTGATGGGCAGAGAGTTGGCGTAATCTAGCCTGGACATTTATGTTGATTTGTTATGCAGTAATATTGATTCTTACAAAATGCAAATAATAAAAAGCAAGGTGTATGATATAATCCCCCAAAGATTACAAAAATAATACTACTAATAATAATCCTTGCATTTGATATAGTGCTTTTCACGTCTTCCAGACGTCTCAAAGTGCTTCACAGAATATACTGTAAAGTGAATTGACTGTATATTTGTGGGTGAAATGTGGCAGCCAATTGCGCACAGCAGTGTCCCACAAACTTTTTTTTTGAGGGATTATTATTAGGCGTGTGGAGTAAGGAAACTTACCCAAGATTTCACCCTGCCGAAAATTGAACCCAGGTCTCTTGCTTGCAAAGCGAGTGCTCTAACCACTGAGCTACAGGACTCCACAAAAAGTTTGATAACAAAGTTGATTACACCCTCAAGAATATAGTTAAAGAAGTACTTCACAGTGAATCAATATTTGGATAATCTTGTTTAGTCGGAAAATAATTTGATATTTTTTCTATTCATCTACAATTTGTTTTGTGGAGTTTAAAATTGCTACAGTATATGAACATATCTTACCATATCCCAGGCAAAATTGGCAATCCAATAAATTGTAGGGTTGACACCACTGACAAGCTGCAGGTGCTTGGCTTTAGAGACACGCTCCTGGATCAGGAAGAGCACAAAGCTGGCAGGAATAAACGACATCGCGAATATAACACAGATGGAAACCACAACATCTGCAGAAGTGGTAGAACTGGATAAAGAAAGAAGAAATACACACGAGAAAAGTTATATTCAAATCAATTCAACAAAACAACAATTCATAACATGACAAAGCTAGTGTCATAAAATCAAACTGGATTCTTTTTGTTTGCTCGGCTGGATGTTTGACACATACAGAAACCCATCATCGTGCTTAAGAGTATCCAAAACAAACAGAATTATATGCATCCCGCTTGTATGTGAAAATTTGACAAATCCGGTTAACCTAATTCCGGGGAGTATTAGGCACACACTGTCAACAGCCAAGGCTCAAGGACCTGGAATGTGCACTGGGGGTAACCGCTGGAGTTTTACCAATTAAAGCCCCATAGCTTGCCATTGAAAGCAATGTCCGTCAAGCTTTTCCATTACTTGTCCAGCTCGGACCATCCTACCCATTCAGGCTTTGGCTTGTAGGGTAGAATCAATACTTTGAAGAATTCAATAACTAATTTCACTTTCATAAAACGTCATTCCATTGGGAAGATATCTCAAAGAGCTTCCCACAGCTTCAGGTTTGAAGGCAGAGTGGGAGAGAGAGGGGGTCCAAACCTTTTTTGTGATCTTCTAATCACCCAGACCCACAAGTAGTATGATCTTTTACTCAGACCCAGGTAATGGACTGTTTAATTAAGGAGCAGGATAATATTCCTTTAAAACAGTCTAATTATTTTCAATGTAGATTTCATTATGCAGATCACCATCCAGTTTAGTTCTAAAGCATTTGTTAAACAGACATTAACTGCTGGACAAAATTCAATGCACTGTTGGAAAGAATCAGCAGGCACATGCTGAATTTGTCATGCACCGAATCATTAATTGTAACTTAGATGGATTCAGACCATACTATGTTTTTGATTACTTGGGAGGCAATATAGTGCTATAATAGCAAGAAATATATATATTTTAAAATGTACAGAGAGAAAATCAGAAATATTACTCGCGTAAAGCAGACTTTAGTGCGAATCAAGGCTGCCGGGATCGAAAACTGAAATAAGTTGATGGCAGATTTCAGCCTCAAGATGGCACTAACGTAACCTGTTAACAAATCCCATTTGCTCTGCAGGTGTAATGATAATTATTTGCAATTTGTACTCACAAAGTTGCGTCAGTCAGCTGCACCTTTGTCAGATTCAAAGGATGGTTGTAGGTAGTGATGCCGTAATCTCTCGGATCTTTGCCAGGCTGTAAATTGCCACGGAGAATTGCATTGCTTGCCACATTAATGAATGAAACCATTGCGTGCCATCCTTTGTTATAAAACCAAACCTGGAGCAGAATAGGGAAACAATATACCCCGAAAGACTTGTCACTGGGGCTATTACAGACTAATTGCTAATGGGAAAAATATGACATATTACTGTGATGTAAGGATTTTCTGAATAAACGATTTTATATGTTAGAAGTGAGAATAAAGCACGAAGATAAATGGACAACAGCTACCAACTTTGATATATTTTGCAAAAGAGTAGTTGGATATCCCTTGAAATTTCAGAAGTACCATTCAGCAGTTTTTAAGCAAAAGATTGGATTTATTGTCAGGTGGCAGTACGTGAAGGAGCAATTTTCAGACAAATACTAGCAGCGCTTCTTTAAAGAGGGGCTCAATATATGGAACAAGTAATAAATAATACTGCTAATAATACTCCTTGCATAGTGACATAGTGCCTTATCACGTTGTTGAGACGTCTCAAAGTGTTTTACAGAATATACTGTAAAGTGTAGTAAAATGTGTATTTTGTGGGCGAAAGGTCATCAGGAAGATTTGCTTTCCCCACAAAACAGTCACTGACTTTATGGTATACCTTGTGAAGCGCTTTGGGGCGCGCTTTGGGATATCCTCCCGACATGAAAGGTGCTATACCTAATGTAACGATTACTATTATTCCTAATACTATTAGTAGTAGTGTATGTCAGGACATTGGGCTCATGTAAGAAAACAAGGGTAAGATTGGTATTCTGGAATTACAATATCAAAAGAACTGTGGGACACTGCTGTGTGCAATTGTCTGCCATGCTTCACCCACAAATATACAGTCAATTTGCTTTACAGTATATTCTGTGAAGCGCTTTGAGGCATCTGGAAGATGTGAAAAATGCTATATCAAATGCAAGGATTATTAGTATTATTAAAGTACTCAGATGATGTTAATTGTTGAGTGTTGTAAATAATTGGCTCCATACAAATGAGTGCAAAATCTATGTGATAAAAATAGTTTAGTATTAAAGGTATTGAACCTTCACTTCACTCTACAACTGTGTGAAAGAAGAGGGCAAGCGCGATCAACAAATTGCATTTATATAGAGCCTTCACGCAGGGTAGCGTCCTGGAGCAATCAAATATGAGAGGGAGTAAGGAATGGGTGAAGACTCTTGTGGGATATAACTACTGACATAGACTGGTTGGGTTTTGTGGCCTTTTTCTGTGCTGTACATTATTTGCACTCTGTAAATATGCAATGCTTCATTCACTAGGTCTGACATGAAATAATATGTCTGATATTGTTAGCCCAATTTGAGAATTATTTGACTATCATAAAGTTATTGTACAAATCAAGCACAAGGACAGAGTCCAGTGATAATAGAAGAAAATATTGATGCCCATTTATGATGGATAATGCTCTGATTTTCTTTTGGTATGCTGATCTTATTGTGGATTTCCAGTATTTCAGTTTTCTCCCAGAACTGAAGTCATATACATCATTTATGATTTTTTTTGGCGTAAATTCATTGGTAGTTTTTTTAAAATATAAAAGTGAGTGAAGTATTTTCTACATGAAGGAAGTTTGTGGCATTATATTTTCTGCACAGATTGAAAAGAATGGGAAAGCAAGAGTCATCCTGTCCGGATACACTTTCCCCAACCTTCTGCTCCCATAGTTTTCCATTAAAAGAATATAACTGGATCTTTGCATTGATACACTCTGTTTTCTCTTTTCTTTTCGAGTCTGCTATCTGGCATGGGTTAACCTCCAGCCAGAAGGATAATATATACAATAATCTTTGCATTTGATATAGCACTTTATTAAGTCTTTGAGATGTCTCAAAGCGCTTAGGGTGGGACAGTCTGAGTTTTCGGTTTCTCCTCCATCCTCCTGACGATAATTATGAGACCTGACATTTTCTCCCCCCCACCACCCCAATCCTACGCAGGGGTGATCTCTTGGTATGGATCTCTTCCATGATCTCTTGGTATGGAGTTGATGCCACTTATCCAGCAGTACCTTATTGTTGCTTTGAAACACCTCAGACATTCAGACTCTTCCTACCTTTACATTGTCCTTTACAACAAGTTTTTCCATCAGAATTTCAGCATTTTGAAGAAGTTTTTTGTCACTCTGAAAAAATAATGGCATTTTGCAACTTGTCAGTAAAATTTTATAACAACTATTTTTCAAAACCGTTTGCCCCTAGATTTCCACCTAATAATAACAGTTCTAGGTTTCCACCTAACACAACAACAACTTGCATTTGTATAGAGCCCTTCACGCGGGGTAGTGTCCCAGAGCACAAATAATAAATAATAATAATCCTTCTAATTGGTATAGTGCTTTGCATGTTGGGAGATTGCTGTGACTGCCGTGACTCCCTTTCATTCACTTCACAACACCAACTTGCATTTATACCGGGGTCACAGCTTGGAGCACTTAAAGAGATACACAGGATTTACTGTCAAGTGTTGTAATTATGTATTTCCAGACTTATGGCTATTTGTGGGACATTGCTGTGTGCAAATTGGCTGCTGTGTTTACCTCCAAAATATGCAGTCACCACACTTTAAAAGTAAAATCCTGTGAAGTGCTTTAAGACATCTCAACAACATGATAAGGCTCTTACGTCGAATGCAAGGACAAAAAAAATTAGTCACTCAATCCACGCCTGTTTGTGGGACACTGATGTGCAAAATTGGTTGCTGCATTTGTTGCTTCTCAGCTTCGCTCCTTCCTCTCCTGCCACTCCCTTCTTGAACCCCTCCATTCGGGCTTCCGTGCTGCCCACAGCACAGAAACCACCCTGGTCAAAGTGACAAATGACATTCTGTTCATCTGCAACCAGGGCTCCCTCTGCCTCCTCGTCCTCGTTGACCTCTCTCCTGCTTTCAACACTGTCGACCACTCTATCCTCATCCATCGCTTCTGCTCTCACCTCAGCCTCTATAGCGTTGTCCTTTATTGGTTCAGATCGAACCTCTCACACTTCATCTCCTCAAACGGTTTCTCCTGTAGCCCCCGGACAGTCTCGTGCGGCGTTCCTCAGGGCTCTGTCCTTGGTCCCCTCCTCTTCAATATCTACATGCTCCCTCTTGGTGCCATCATCCGCAGACATGGGGTCAACTTCCACATGTGTGCGGATGACACCCAACTCTACCTCTCTGCCTACACCCTTGACTCCAGGACCACAGCTGTGCTGACATCAGTCAGACATCAAGTCCTGGATGAGAACTAACTTTCTTCAGTTGAATGTCAACAAGACCGAGGCTCTCCTGATTGGCTCCCGTCAATGCCTCCTCACCTCAGGCGCTGACAGCATCACCATCCATGGTTGCAAACTCCACCTTACTAAGCCAGTCCGGAACCTTGGGGTCTTGTTCGACCCTCAACTATCCTTTCTACCCAACAATCATGCTTCTGCCTTCCCCACCTCTGCAACGTCGCCCGGCTCCGACACTGTCTCACACCACAGGCCGCCAAAACCCTCATGCACGCTTTCATTACATCGAGGCTTGACTATGCAAATTCACTGCTTGTCGGCCTTCCCAAATCTTCCCTCCACAGGCTGTAAATCATCCAGAACTCTGCAGCCCGTGTCCTCTCCTCCAATAGGCTCTGCGACCCTATCAGCCCCATCCTTGTCCAACTCCACTGGCTTCCCATCACACAGAGGATACAGTTCAAAATCCTGGTCCTCACCTTCAAAGCCCTCCATGGTCTTGCTCCCCCCTATCTCTCCGACCTCCTAACCCCCTACCATCCTGTTTGCTCCCTCCGCTCAGTGGGCTCTGGCCTACTTCACGTGCTCCGACTTGCTTGCCCGCTGATAGTGGGCTTTTTGCCACTCTGCACCCACCCTCTGGAACTCCATCCCACAGTCCCTCTGTCTCACCCCCTCCCTCACCACCTTCAAGACCCACCTCAAGATTCTCCTCTTCAACCGTGCTTTCGACCTCCTTACTTACCCCCTGCCCTCCCCCTCTCCCACTCCGACCCTCAGCTCGGGTCCGAAACTCTGTCGGTCCAGCAACTTGGGACGTCCTCCCGGACGTGAAAGGCGCTATATAAATATAATTTTGTTGTTGTGTTTGTTGCATTCCACCCACAAAATGTACAGTCAAGTCAATTCATTTTACATTTATTCTGTGAAGCATTTTGAGACATCTAGAAGATGTGATAAGGCACTATATCAAATGCAAGGATTATTATTACTATTATTATTCCTTTATCACAGGGAGACTAGAAACATTACGAGAGTCAGACTCCTATCCTTCGGAATCCTCAGTCACCTGACAGAGTGTCCTGAAAATACTTTCAGATACAAAAAGGATACCGAAAGAGAGGAAACAAGTTTGAAATGTAAAGGGTATGTCTCGGATATATACGAGGAAGCATTTCCTTTCACAGAGGATAATAAAGTGCTGGAAAAGAATGGGTTACCAAGAGGTTTAGTTGAGGCTAAGATATGAGATTCATTAAATATGAGCCAAAGGGCCTTCTTCATTTCACTCTCCTTTTCAATCTTCTGCCATTGATGAATGTCTTGGCAAAGTCTTTCTTCTAATGCTCAGCTGGAAGCATAACCCTCAGCCCTCTCTGCTTCAGACCTTGTTTGGAACCAGGTTGGAGGGAAATAACTGAAAGTGAGGAGAATTTCCTCCTCCAATCTGCACAATAAAGCACTGCTAAACAACATCACATTCATTTCTAGTTAGAGTATTGCTGTCTAATTCTGATTTACTTAAAATGTTGAGAACATTGACTGAGCACTAGAAGAATAATTAATCAGTTCATCTAATCCCTTCTGCCTTAAGTCACCTCCCAATACAACTGGACAGCTTCACCATTATTATTAAACTGGATGGGATGCTGCTTAATTATCATGTATGTACTGCAGTCACAATCAGTGTCTGATAGCAACTCTACCTGCCTGATTTTAGACATCTCTACAGTCTGGCCATACTGACTGCTAGTGAATTGTCTTCACTGGTCATTCTCCTCAGAGCCATTAATAAAAATGTGCATAAAAAATAAATAAAGAGCATATAAAATAAAAATGTTATGCATGCTATGCCATGAAAAAAAATTGAATATGAATCAGGAGTCAAAATTGTTATCTCCATAAATATGTTGCTTAAGTAAGGAACTAGGTCAAAATCTGTTTTGAAATACCTCTTCCATCAGCCTGGACCATGAGCTTGAGCCCACAACTTTCTTTGTTCTAAGATAATAATAGTAATACTCCTTGCATTTCATAATGCCTTATCATGTTACGGAAATACCTCAAATTACTTCACAGGATTTACTGTAAAGTATAGCAGTTATGTATTTGCAGCCAGATATGGCAAGCAGCCATGTCCCACAAACAGCCACAGAGTAAATGATTAACTTTTGTTTGTCTGGAGGATTGTTGACCAGGTCATCGTGATGGGACTTCCTTCTTTATTCGAATAGTGCTGTGGGATCTTTTGTATCCATGGAATAGGCAATAGGTCCTCGGGTAATGTCTCAACTGAAGGATGACACTACTGGCAATTCAAGTTTAATGCCCTCTTGGCCAATCTCCCTAGCTCCACCATGCACAGGATCCAGCTGATCCAAAACTCCGCCGCCCGCATACTCACCTGCACTAAACTCCATACCTCCATCACACCAGATGGATCAATTTTGAGATCCTCACACATGTTTTCAAATCCCTTCATGCCCTCTCTACCTCTCCGACCTGCTTACCCCACAACCCACTGCCTCTGCTCAACTGGTTCCGGCCTTCTGCATGGTCCTCATGCCCTATGTTCCACCATGGTGGGCCTGCTTTCAGCCACTAAGCTCTGAAACTCTGGAACACTCTTCCTCAATCCCTCCACCTTACCCTTTCTTCCCAATCTTCAAGTCGTGCCTGAAGACCTTCCTATTCGACTGTGCCTATGAACTCACCATCGTGCTCTGCCAATGTCAAGCTCTAGGACGGTAACCTGCGTGAGAGGCACTATATAAATGCAAGTTGTTGTTGTAATGATTGAAGTGTCACCCCAGACAATGAGCTCAAATGAGCCCATGTCACCGCTTCTGTTTTGAAGCCGCGTCACATACTTTGATACACTGTCACGTGTGCTCATGTAGTTTACCTGAAGAGAAGTTAATTGGTTTACAGTGGATGGCTAGCAGTTGGGATTTTATTTCATGTTATATAATAATCCTTGCATTTGGTATAGCACTTTTCACTTCTTCTAAATGTCTCAAAGCCCTTCACAGAATATGCTGTAAAGTGAATTGACTGTATATTTTGCGGGCGACATGATACCACACTTGTGTTGTTTTCTTCTTATTTTTCCGAATCCTTTTTTGCAGTCACAGTACATTTCATATAATCTTTCACAATATTTACACATATTTACTTAAATGTTTTACCTGAGACACATTAAACATCTCTGAAAGTTGCAGAAGGTTGGCAGCAATGATGCTTTTGTTAATCTCAGCTTGTGAGTTCACTTCCCCAACTGAAATCCCTCCATACCTTCAGGGCCGAAACAACAACAACAAAATTACATTTGTATAGCGCCTTTCACATCAAGAGGATGTCTCAAGGCAGTGGACAATCAGAGTTTTGGACCTGAGCTGGGTTCGGATTAGTGAGGGTGGAGGGCAGGGGGGGAAGCTGGGTGATCAAAAGCATGGTTGAAGAGGAGGGTCTTGAGATGGGTCTTGAAGGAGGCAAGGGAGAGGGCGAGGCGGAGGGACTGCAGGATGGAGTTTCAGAGGGTGGGGGCAGAGTGCCAGTGGCCTGTATTCTCCGTGTGATGGGAAGCCATGGAGTCAGGTGAGGATGGGGGTGATAGAGTCATGGAGCCTAGTGCGGGAGAGGACACGGGCTGCAGAGTTCTGAATGATTTGCAGCCTATGGAAGGAGGAGTTGCGGAGGCCGACAAACAGGGAGTTTGCATAGTCAAGCCTTGATGTAACAAATGCGTACATTAGGATTTCGGCAGCCTATGGTGTGAGACAGTGCTGGAGCCGGGAGATGTTGCGGAGGTGGAGGAAGGAGGAGTGGGTCATGGCACGGACGTGAGGTAGAAAGAATAGTTGAGTGTCAAACACAATGCCAAGGTTCCGGACTGGCTCAGTGAGGTGGAATGTGCAACCATGGATGGTGATGCTGTCAGCGCCTGAGGTGTGGAGGCGCTGACGGGAGCCAATCAGGAGAGCCTCGGTCTTGTTGACATTCAACTGAAATAAGTTAGCTCTCATCCAGGACTTGATGTCTGACAGACATTCTGTCAGGGCAGCAGTGGTCCTGGAGTGAAGGGTGGAGGCAAAGAGGTACAGTTGGGTGTCATCCTGAAGCACACCTGAGTTACATATTACAATGTAATCCAACAACTTCACACAAAAAATAATAGCATACGGTAAAAGAAAGCAGCAATGTCAACTTGTATAGCAACTCAGCAGGTTATTCATCTTAATGTTTCCAAGAATAACACTGTGCTTTTCATGTCAATTTTCATACCTTATTTTGTAGAATTCTTCATATGTTTTCACAAGATAGTCTGTTACGTTTCTTCCTGTCATGTTCTGTAATATATCTGTTGTGTTTTGAAGTCGCTGCAAATAAACACAGTTAAATGATGGCTCTTAGCATCAATATTGAAGGCTATTGCTGTAAAGTACAAACAAATTAAAAAATGTTTTACTTTCCAGTTAGAAGATCTGTCAACAAAATACAAAGTAAATTACCTTGTAAAACGCATCCAACATTAATTAGAAAGATTTGTTGAGACATTTCAGATAAATATATAAGACAATAGTAATATGGTTTTATAAACACCGTGCAGCTCTACTACTAATATTCTGTCACTTTGACTCTACACTTCAGCCCATCTTTCTTGTTTACAATTCATAGAAATCCCTTGGTGTTCATTAACTCCGTGGATAGTGATGCTACTTCCAATCACTAGAATTTATATTTCCCTGTCAATGTAAATAAAATCAATACTATGCGTTTGTGTGAAATAATCAAAAAATCCTTGCATTTGAATATAGAGCCTTGTCATGTTTTCGAGAGTGCTTCACAGGTTATACTGTAAAGTCAATTGACTGTATAGCTTGTGGGCAAAATGCGGCAATCACGACTAACAACCGGGTTCCTACTTACTGCTAGGTAAACAGAGGCGAGTAGAGTAAGGAAACTTGTCCAATGTCTCGTTCTGCCAGGGAATAGAACCCAGGTGTCTCACTTGTGAGGCAAGTTCTCTAACCACTGAGCTACAGGACTCCATGAGAAATGGCACCCCATGCTTATTCTTGGCTTATTTTACAGAACCAGAGGTTAGTGTTCACACTAACTGAATTTTTGCATTAGTCAGAAAGATCTTCACCGCTCACTCAATATTGCCTCTTGGATCTTCCATTAGAAAAATTGCTTGTGCAAAGTGAACAATTAGCAAACATGTAGATACATTATAATAAGATCAACACTTGCATTTAATATAACATATTTCACATCAGGAGGATGTCTCAAAGTGCTTTGTATGATTTACTGTGTATGTTTGTGGATGAAACACAATATAGTTGTGAGTACAGATAAAATAGGCTAAAGAGAAGGATGGAGAGATCCTGGTCAGAGATGAATAACTCCAACCAGACATGAATAATGTGCTGTACTGTAATGGAATGAAAGGAAATTTTGAAGATCCAGGGAATAACCATCATTGGATACAGCTCCAAACATTCTGATGACTGCTGTGAGGAATGTCTAAAAAAGGCATATCAGAGAGCATGTTAGAAAGGTTTTCAAGATGGATAATAGGACAGAGAAAATAACACAGACCAATTTTGCCTTGTACACCAAGGACAAGAGAAAACAGGTTCAGGGTTGTGAAGGTGAAGGCAAATTATAGGTAGAAAGCCAAGAAGTATAGTGGAGCCCTGTTCTAAGCAGGGTTTGGATTCATAAAATCCCAACCCATGCTGTAACAAGATGCGATAGTGGGTTTGAATGTTCATGAAGCAGACTCGCTCTTTGTGCATCGACCAGTTCCTGCACTAAAAGCAAAACATCTGATTTCCAATTCATCTGGTCACCATCAACATGATGTCAATGGCAACTCAGTAACCAGGACTATCTGACTGGCCTGCAGGAAGCAATGGGCCAGTTGTCCACATATGGAGTGAATACAGTCAACCAATGTCACAACTGAACTTGCACTATGATGAAGTGCACTATAACAAGGCTACACTGTAATTCTTTACAGAGATGTAATCAATGGCTGGAAGAAATTATCAGGAGTAATAATAAAAGTTGCATTTGATATTGCATCCTATTGAATTGAAACGGCTCAAAGTCTTCACAATGTTTTCTGAAAAGTTTAGTGACTTTTGTACGGTCCATGAACTGCTATGAAGTGAATGACGTTTTTTTATCTGGGGATTGTTGGTCAGGGCATAGGGAGAAACACCCTTCCCTTTTTGAATAGTGCTATGGGAACTTTAACATCCACCTCAAAAGGCAGATGGGACGTCAGACTAATATCTCATCTGAAGGACAGCACCTCTGAAAAAGCAGCACCTTCCTCAACACTGCAATAGAGTGTCAAACTCGACCATTTGCTCAAAATCCACATGTGGAGTAACCTTCGAAAGCAATAACAACAACAACAACAACAACAAGATTCCATTTATAAAGCGCCTTTCACGTCAGGAGGACGTCCCAAGGCGCTGCACAGTTGGGTCATGACCCGAGCAGGGGGGAAATGGTCAGGGTGAGGGGAGGGAGGGAGCGAGGAGGGGGGAAATGGTCAGGGTGAGGGGAGGGAAGGGAGGGAGCAAGGATGGGGGAAATGGTCAGGGTGAGGGGAGGGAAGGGAGGGAGCGAGGAGGGGGAAGAGAGTCGAGAGGGGAGCTGAAGGCACGGTCAAAGAGAAAGGTTTTGAGACCGGCCTTGAAGGAGGAAAGGGAGGAGGCGGCGAAGGCACTGGGGGATAGAGTTCCAGAGCCTGGGGGCTGAGAGGCTGAAGGCCCGACCACCGATGGTAGGGCGGTTGGGGCGGGGGACGTGGAGCAGACCAATAGCGCTAAAACTGAGCGAGGCAGACACATGAAGAACAATTTGAGACCAAGGCATTTAATTAATTTGAGAAATTGCATGACATAATAGGAGGATGGTGTTATTGGTGCTCTGAACAGATTGAGAATAAATGGACTGAAGGACCTTCTTTATCCAAATCCTTTTGTGATCTTTGTTTCTATATTAAAATTGCATTAAGGCTAAATTTAATTTCTCCTGCAGATTATCTTTATATTCAAGGCATGTAATTCTTAAAGCGACTCACTTATTGAATAATTCATTGAAACAGTGCTGTATTGAATTAATGCATCCTTCATTTAATTGACATTTGAATAATGTGGTCTTTACTTTTTAGTGATCAGTTTGCAAAATTGAGGTAAGCATTTATCAACCGAACACACACATTTTATACTCTGAGGTTATTACGAAGGATATATGGATAATACACAAATAGACATGGATTTTAAGCTCTCCAAGAGCCTGTGTGAAGGGTGCTATATAAATATAAAAGTTATTGAGGTTTTAAGGATATGGGCAGTAATAATGTCAGTTTGAAAAAAATGCAACATAGCATGAGTCATAGGGATCTAAATCGAAGCGATTCATAATATTAGTCATTAATAACAACTGAGTTGCAAACTCTGTAGTGACTGAAAGTACCACACAATATATACAGTTTTGCCCACAAAATATACTCATTGTGGATCCAGAATTCTTCATACCTATATGATATGAAGGTAAAGAGAGTGTGTGTGCCTGATTAACTGATTTATTAAAGAAACTGATTTTCTTTGTTAAAGCGAATGCCCAACCAGAAACTTCCTAAACATTATTGTAGGAAACAGTGAAAGCAGTGTCGAGGTTATATAACAGCCTATTCTGCAGCCCATTCTGCATATAATATAATCATATATAATATATCATATAAGAGCCTATATATCATGTAATATCATATAATATCATATAATATCATATAATATCATTTAATAGCCTATTCTGTAAGCTTCGGGCACAGCTGGAACTGGAAAGAAAAGAATGAATGACTAGGTCATCCACAAAAGTGTGCCAATGTGTGGTGCCAACTAATTAATGCCAGGGACAAATTGAGTATCCTGCTATTCTTAGGAGCTGAAACATTACTCCAATTTATGAAAGCTAAATATAACACGAAAAGAGAAGAAAGGAAAAACCGCTCATGCCTATTTTGTGCAAGTACGTTCAAAGTAAAACAACTCTATTCCCTCCAAACAAAAGATGCTGGAATTACCAGGCAACCACAGAGAATCAACGGAAAATTTGTCATATATTTTATGAAAGACAAGACTAATTTAATTGAATCTTCCATTGATATATGGTGTTATGGCTCAATGGGTAGGGATATACATCTGAACTTTGGGCAGGAAGATCATGGCATTGCTTTCATGTACTGTGTTTGTATCATTCCATTATGACCTTCCTTGTGAGCAGCACAGCTCAGCATGACATGCATAAAAGCACTGCCACTATCTTCCTGTCCACAGTTCAGAGTACAGAGTACACTAGTACGTAATGTAACAAGCGCTACAGCATGCACAAAATCCCAAGTATTCTATGGCATTAATTTAATAATCCTTGCGTTTGATATAGCGCTTTTCACGTTTTCTAGATATCTCAAAGCGCTTCCCAGAATATACTGTAAAATGAATTGACCATATATTTGTGGGCAAAATGTGGCAGCCAATTGCCCACAGCAGTGGCCCACAAACAGTCGTGCATTGAAAATGACCAATTTATTATTAAATTATTTAGCGCTTTGGGATGTCTAGAAGACGTGAAAAGCGCTGTATCAAATGCAAGGATTATTATTATTATTATTAAAATCATTTGCATTCAACTTGCATTCCGTCCCCGCACTCCACCCCTCCTAATCTCAACTATCAGCTTGGGTGAGGAATCCTGATTGTCCAGCGCCTTGGGACATTCTCTTGATATAATTTGTTGTTGTTGTTGAAGACCATTAACAGTAAAATTGGGGGCAACCGCAATGGTGTAATGGATACAGTTCCTGCAACTCCAGTGGGTCATTATTCATGCATTGACTGGAGAAATGTGTTGAGAAGAATTCAAGATTTGACTTCTGCACAATTCTGCAATTCCACAGAGGTGCAGAATAGCTGTTATCAGTTTGTTTGATTATCAATATAAAATTGTCAAGACATGGGAATCACTACTTCACAATCCCAATGTTCATAAACATTGTCTTGTGTGGTTGGAACTGCATCAGTAGGGCTGCTTCTGGAATGAGCAATAAATGGCCAGTGATACCAAGGCCTGACCCAATGCTTTGAGAACCAGCTTGGAGTATGTGAAGTGCAACAATTATTATATTCAAATGCTGCAGTCAGAGGTGGTTGGCTGAGGATAAAATAGTGACATGTTGATTCTATGAATTGTGTATTGACAAGTAAGATTCTGTATTGCACATCACCTGTGGTGAGTTAGAAGCTTCAGTGGTTGTAGGATTGAATGTAAACTACCTAAACTGTATAGTGCACATTTG